TAGGTTTCTTTCCCATCGCATTTAATGCGCGCAGGTATACTGACAGTCTAAGTCGCAGATGAAGAAGAAGAAGCCGATGATACTGATGATGACGCCGTTTTAATCCCGGCCCCCACCACTCCGACATCTTCCAGTATTAGAACACCAGCAAAGGCCAATAAACCCTCTACACCCGTCAACAAAAAACATGACTCGCCAAATACGATCAAAGACAGTAGTACCTCCCGTAAATCTAGTCACCGGAAGAGGAGCGCACCTGATGAGCCACCGGACGGCCGGCCACACGCGAAGCTTCAGAAGCGTGACGCACTAACAAACACGGCTGCTACAAATACCGGACATTCGGCTGAGGATGAGATCACAGGCACCCTAGTCGACTACACCATACCAACGCTTTCGCAAACGGAAAGACAAACATCGGTATATAACGCCAAAGGATCCCGCCAAGATGCTTTCATGCAGGCCACTGGTATGGATCCTTTAGATCCCGACCGCTCTTCGATAATCATTCGCGGACGTAATGAGGATCGCGTGCTCACAGCGACATCCGGCCAAGGTTATCGCAAGGGCGAGACATACTTCCATGAGACCACAAGTAAGTAACAGCTTGTCTTTGGATACTACTGATACGATGCGGGTTGTTCCATTGGCCGCGCACTTCTTTACAGTCATCTGAATACCTCCGGGGGCGGTCCAAACATGAATCATCTCGGCTGTTCACTCCGCTTGCTCCATACAGCACACCTCGCTAACACGCTACCTAGTACCACATCGAGCTACCAAGACCCACCAATCTCCTTCCGTCCCATATCTGAAAGAAGGAAATCACGGACGTAAAGGTGACTTCCAAGCCGACAACGACCGGCTCACGGGCGTGGGCCATCAGTTTGAACCAGACGACTATCTCAAGTGGTCGGAGTTCAAGAATTTCCGCAGCACGGTTTACGAGCAGTTCCCACACTATCCAAAGCCGAACCAGGGGATAACAATCGACCTTGAGACCAAGGCTACATGGGATGCATGGCAAATTTGGTACGATGAGTTCACGAAGAAGTACCCTGGCTATGCCGTCGCCCACTTGTGGCCTTGTGGCTGCGAGAAGGTGAGAGACGAGGATGAAAGTGAGGAGGAGTAACGGTGAAGGAGACTAGCATTGGTATACTGCAAGCATGTCCTACGATTTCTGTGTGGTAGCCGGCAGTATGAGAAGGATGTAGGTCACGGGTGGTCAAGATGTGTCATTTCGTTGTAAACCTACAAACTTCAATTCGCTGCCTGGAAAACCCCAATTACCTCATGCTCACGCTCCGCACAAGTCTCGCTAACCTCTAAGCTAAGTGTGCGCAAATATCGGTATAAGACTCCTAGTCTCCTACTCACAGTGTCTAGACTCGAGGTTCCTTACAACACTCGCTTACCTCTCCCGCAGCGCCTCACCAATCGAGACACCCACCTTACACAAAGGGAGTTTTAAAACTGAACAGGTCTGCAGACTACATCAAGTCAAAAGCGTGTAAAGTAGGTGACACAACGTCAACGTAGACTGCAGGGTGTTCAGTTTTTAACACAGTCCTCACCAGACAAGTCTACAATGGGTCTGAAGCTCGAAATACCTCAGCGAGACATCTCCAAAGAGGAAGAGCGCAAGCTCAAGATCCGAAAAGCCGCTGCAAAACGCTGGGTACCCAACCTTCAAAGGCCTCCGCCTCAGCTAAAAGAAATCAACGCTGCCTACAACAATAAGCTTATGAGGCATTACACCGACGGAACTGCAGCACCGTCAGACAACATCATCAGACCGCCAATCAGCAGGTCCGCCCGTGTCGACGCTTTACTCGCGACGCTCCCACTTCAACCGGCACAAAAGCTGCCGAAGTCACTCAGTCAAATACAAGCTGAGCACCGCGAAGAAGTCAGAATTTCCGCACTTTTGGAGCCAAACAGGAAAATCACGGAAAGTGCGTACGCGAAAGAATTAGCGAAGGAAGCTTTCTCGTCAAATGGAAAACCTCGTGACCGCAAAAGTCTCAAGCGCAAGTCGATGGTTGTTCCTGAAAGTCGAGGAGATCAAGAAGTAACGTCAAGGCAAAGACAAAAATTTGCCTGATTGGGGGGAGGCGAAGACGGATCGGTTTGCGGAGTCCACTGGGCAGAGTGGAGTGTAATGAATGAGTCAGGGTGCGGCGATGAGCTCCGAGGCGAGCATATTACGACATTGGGTTGGGGACTGCGGCATTTGTTTTGAGGAGTACGGCGTTTGGGCTCAGTGACTGCGACGATTGCGGCTGGGAAGTATTGCGATTGTTTTAAGGGTTTGGCTGATTGGCGGTGTTCGGGTAGAAAAATGTAGACTAGTCAAGGCAACTGTGGTACTTGATCACACATTGGGTCCACTTTGACATTTGTGACCACTGATAAAAATTGTGTATGGCAGATACTGTAGTATTCACGTGATGCAACTATGGTACCTGATATGGTTCTTGTATAACAGTATCCACTTTGGCGATTTGACCAGTGGTGTAGGATGTATATGGCAAGAAATGTAATATCTCAGCAATGCAACTATGGTACTGCTATGACTAGATCCGCTTACCATGTGCGCACCTTGGTTTCCATGCGCGCTCACATATTTTATACCGAGCTAGCAGTATAAATAAATTATATCCATGTCCACTTCCAAAGACCATACCATCACACCAAACCTCCACATCAAAATTCCGCAAAGAAAGTTGAATCCCAACTAAACCATCCAACACCAACACAAAAACCGTAAAATCAAGCATCATGAAGCACTTCCTCTCGCCTAACCGCATGGTCGCAAACTCGCCTCCTCAAATGAGTGAGGAAGCATCACCACCTATCACCCCATCAGCCGCGAAGCCCAAACGTAAATGCCGGCTAATCATCCACCCCCCCAAAACACCATCACCAAAGAAGCCCAAGCGTGGATGCCGCCTCACCATCCACCCACCCACGCAAAACCATGCCAAAACCCAATACCTCCCAACACCCCAATCACTCCCACAGCTGCCGCCAAACACCAGCGCCGCGCAGAAGAAGAAGAAGCCCTTCTTCAAACATTTCAGAACACGAGCACAACTACGCACACCAGTCAATAAAACCTACTATTTCCCCACCGCGCAGAAAGCCAGAAATAACATGCGCAACTCCCACTTTCTGGAGTTGGCGAAATTGGGTGTTACGCCGCTCATCCACAAGTGTGAAGACATGGGTGATTTGGGACTCAGTGGCGTGGAGATGGAGGACGAAGAGAGAGGGGAGAGGGGCGAGCTGGAATTTGGGACTGGGTTGAAGGCGGAGATGGAAGAGGATGATGTGAAGAGGGGGAAGATGGCTTGGTTGAAGGAGAAGTTGTGGGGGAAGGGGACTTGGGCTGTTTGTACTGGGAGGGAAGAGGAGGAGGAGATGGAGCGTGAGCTTATGTGTTTGGCGAGAGCGGCGGTGCCGCTGATGGGTGCGCGCGATGAGGATGAGATGGAGATTAGCGGTGGACCTTCGATGAAGACAGAGATCCCGAACATGGGTGACTATATGGGTGATTTCTCGGAGGATGATGTTCGATGGTTAGTAGGGTAGGGGGTGAGGGCTTATGAGATTTGATGGAGAGCACCTTCAGGTTATGTCATGGGCGCGACGGGTTGCAGGGCATGACTTAGGAACACGGGTATGCGATTGTGTGCGATAGTGTCTGCGTTTTCATATTATTTCTTCTAGTAATCGTAAAATCCTTTGCCACTCTTCTTTCCTAGCCATCCTGCATCGACCATCTTCTTGAGCAGCACTGCGGGTCTGTACTTGGAATCACCCGTGTCGTGGTACAAGACCTGCATGATCGCTAGGCAAGTGTCAATGCCGATGAAGTCCGCTAGTTGCAGTGGGCCCATAGGTACATTCGTTCCGTTCTTCATGATGCTGTCAATGTCCTCCTTGGCGCCTACACCTGTCTCTAGGCATATGACGGCCTCGTTGATGTACGGCATGAGGATACGGTTTGCAAGGAAACCGGGGCTGTCGGCGGACTTGGACGGTATTTTTCCCATCTTCTCACAAAACGCGATTGCGGTTTCGACGGTAGCTTGCGAGGTCTGGAGGCCGGTGATGATCTCGACGCCCTTCTGGATGGGTACTGGGTTCATGAAGTGTGTGCTGATGACGCGTGATGAAGCCGAGAGATCTGTTGGGTCGGTGGTAGTGCTCGCCGCAATCTTGGTAATCGATATGGACGAGGTGTTGGTAGCTAGGATGGCGTGCGATGGGCAGATTTGCGCGAGTTGCGAAAAGATCTTGTGCTTTAGGTCTGGGATCTCTGGTACGGCCTCGATAACGAAGTCGACGTCTGACAGATCGTCCATCGATGTGCTGGACGTCAATCGCTCTCTTGTTGCGGCGGCGTCATCTTTCGAGATCCTGCCCTTTCCGACATCTTTTTCAAGGAGCTTGTCCGCAAACTTCAGGCCTTTGTCGATTGATGCTTGGGAGTTGTCAATCAACCGGACCGGTACTGAGGCCCTCTGTGCTGCTACAAGAGCTATTCCGAGGCCCTGAACATGTTAGATTGACAGCTGTAGAGTTGGTGTATTGATGCATACCATCTGGCCTGCTCCAATAACACCCAGCTTCTTGACCTCAGCGGCAGCACCGACAGAAGGAGTTGAGCTGAAGGCACGGCATTGCTGCCGCACAGCGCATCGGGCGACTTGTCTTGAGGCCACGGAGAACATCGTGTGTGTTTAATCGAAGGATTGCACGAATTATGGAAGATGCGGAATCAACATGTGATGCAGAACGACATTTCCCCAGGCCGATGAGAACCGCGGCGGGCTAGCCGAGGCATGACGTTGACTGGCGGCGGGAAGGCGCGAGGATCAGCCCTGTCTTGGCGGATTTGCGCGGTTTGTCCCGCTTGTGGCACTTTACGCGTCGACGCGTCTTTTGGGCCATCGCGACACCGGCGGGCTATCTGAGCATCAACCACGACAATGGCTCAGACAACGCTGGACGACTGGGCGCAGGATACTGTGAACCCAGAAGTTCGCGCTCACGTCTCTAGTCTAATATCTGCTGTACGTATCCCTTCCCACTGACACAATGGCTACTGACATACAATCAGCTCGGTGGTATTGGCGATGACGGCACGTATGCACTCGGACACGACGCCCTGCTCTGCCTCAAGGACCTACGGAAATGGCTGAAGTTCGCCGACGGGCAGTACAATCGACGCGATGTAGCACGATGCATGGCCGAAGCAAACTTCGTAAAGGGCGACTTGCTTGAGATACTGGCCAAGATATCACCAACTGTCATGGAAAGCGCCTGGAAGCACAAGATTGCGGTTGCGACATGTGAGAAAGTATACTCCGAATATTGAGACTGTACTGACGACCGCAGTGGAACTTCTCGTGCCTTTGACTTGGCCCAACGAGATCGACCCCACCGAAGCGACCGTAAACCACCACCGACATGGGCCTTATATCGGGCTCGCCCAAATTGGCTACAAACGTGCTATTCTGCAATTCGACCGAGACAGAACCCTGCAGACTGCTGTCAAGATCGCGCTCCCTTCTATGGCCGTACCCCTCCGAGAACGCACACCACGAGACGAGGGTATCATCCGAATCGCACTATACTTCATACGCAACATCGCCATGCTCGCGCCCCCAAACAATGCACACATGGACACCGACGAAGCTGAAGTCTCCCGATCTGCAACGATTGATACTTTCCACGAGCAGGATATATTCCAGGTCATTCTGAGTATCGCGTCAAGCATCGGGGAGGACTTTGTTACCCAAGACGTCGTAATCCTCGAAATCCTGTTCTTCTTGCTCAAGGGCATCGATGCTGAGAAGCTGTTCATGGAAGATAAGAAGCTTAACACTAAGAACACGGACGAGCTCAAGGGCTTGATCCAGAAGGAAAAGGCCATGCTTGCAGGGTACGCTCGCAATGCACCAACCCGGCACAACCGATTCGGAACGATGATCTGGATGAAGAGGGACGACGAGAAGGTCACTACGATATCTGGGCAGGATGTACTAGGCAAGGCTCAGGCTAGCATGCAGAAGATGGACGATACAAAGAAGTGGAACAAACCCAGACGGCCCGGGAAGAAGCAGGCCGATGAAGAGAGAGAGGAGTTTGATCTTCCGGTACCACTGACTTCTTCTGCGCGGAAACATATCAAAGCGTTCGTCGAGGAGTTCCTCGACTCGTCCTTTAACCCTCTATTCCTGCATCTGCGGAAAGCTATCGAGCGCGAAACGGAGCGTGTGGAAACACGACACTCCAGGCAGTTCTTCTACCTCGTATCGTGGTTTCTGCGAGCAGAGTGCGCACGGCGGAGGACGATGAAGGAGAGGGCCGCAGACCCGAAGAGTCCTGAAGTTCTGTCTGCTGAAGATGAGAGCTACGGACTAGTGGCTGAAGTCATGAATCAGGAGACTTTCATCCTACTCAACCGCTTCATGCAGAAGAGTCAGGACGAGAAGGCATGGCGAGACCTGAACGCCGGGCTGAAATGCTTCACGCAAATCTTGCTCACTGTGCATGAGATGTCCGAGTCGGGCCTTGAGGAAGACCAAGAGATTGCCGAGAACATTCAAAACCGTATCTTCTACGAAGAATCAACACATGACAGGATAGTCATGATCCTGAGGTCATACAAAGATCAAGGCTTTGGCTACCTTGATGCAGTCACGGAGCTTTCCCATGTCTTCTTGCGGATGCTCGAGCGCTATGCAAAGCAGAACGTTGACATGCAAATTCGATCGAAACGACGAGCCCGAAAGATCAAGAAGAAGAAAGCGGAAAAGCAGGGCGAAGACGGAGAGGAAGAGGGTAACGTTTCTGAGACTGAAGACCTCCAACAAGCCCAAAAGACGGTTTCTGAACGCAAGTTCGATTTCATGAAGTTCTCGGCGAAGTTTGTGAACCAAAGTAGCGTTAACACGTTCGTTGCCTTTGCCAAGTACTTCAGCGACCTCGATACTGAGCAGCTCAAGCGTGCGCATCGCTTCTTTCACCGTGTCGCTTTCAAGATGGAGCTTGGTGTCTTGCTGTGCAGGGTGGACATCCTGGCGCTTTTCAACAAGATGATGAAAGGTCCAGGTGGTCTTGATCCAGAGTCGCCAGCTTACAGAGAGTGGGATGATTTTGTCAAACACTTCTTCAGGCAGGTTGTAAAGAGAGTACAAGAGAGGCCAGAGCTGGTAGTCGAGATGCTGTTCGACAAGATCCCTGCAACCATCTTCTTCCTTGAGCACGGATTTGATCGCGAGATACACACTCGAGCGCCACGAGCTCCGGCAGAGCTTGAGGTCAAACCTGGAATGGAGCTACCTGATCAGATTGGTGTCGCTGTTGGTGTTCTTGTTAATCAGTCAAAGTCGGATGCTCTCCGCTGGGTACGAGACGTGCTCACATCAGCAGCTGAAGAGCGCAAGGCGTGGGAAGAGGCAGCTGAAGCACAAAAGGCGTTGGTGGGTGACGTAGAGGAGCGTCCAGAAGGCGAGGCACCTGAGAACGCAGACACTGAAACCTCGAAGCCGCCATCGATCTGTAAGTACGGTGATCACATTGTAAAAAAGTCTGCTAACCGAGTCCAGTCATCAAGCATGATACCGAAGAACGCCGCGTCGCTATGTTCAAAGATAATAAATTACGACTGCTCATGAACCTAGTCGGTTTCGAGAGATTAGGAGAACATCACGATCCGGACGCTTCATGGATCATACCTTCATCCCTTACCTCAACGCAATTACAAGAAGCCATCGATCTCATTCGCAAGTATGAATTCGATCCTCCAACATATGAGGACGGCAAAGCGCCAGAAGATTTGCTACGTAGCAAGGCTGCATCCGCTCGACGCTCCACTCGTCGGGCTGAGTTTGATGATGACTCTGACGGCATAGACCGCGACGAGGAAGAGGACCATGGAGAGTATGCCAAGGGTGGTCCCACTGAGAGAGATGCAGACGCCCCTCGCAAGACACTGAAGCGACGACGCCGAAGGAATAGTCCTGTGGAGCTTGACGACGAAGAGAAGGACCGCAGAGCCGAAGCACGTCGCAAGAAGGAAATCGAGAAGCAAGCCAAAGCATTAAGTACCATGTATGTGCATGACTCAGACGACGAGGACTGGGACGCTGAGAAGGATGCCGCTTTCTTCGCGCGAGAACAGGCGATCCGCGAGGAAAACATGAAGGTCTTCAAGAAGTCGCTTGTACTTGGAACCGTGGAGCCAGTCGCATCCAAAAAGCGAAAAGCTGATGCACCGGCCAAGAAGAGCAAGAGGAGAAAAAGTCCACCGAAACGGAAAGCGCCATTCGCCGATAGTGACGACGATATGGAAGATGCAGAGAGCAGTCAGGCTCCTTCCGTGGTTGATGGTAATGAGGAGGAAGATGAGGATGAAACTACAGATACGCCACTTTCATCGCAGAACGCTGGGGCAGCAGCAGCACTTAGTGACGCGGACACGCCCAGGAAGCCAGCGAGTGATACCGCGACGAAGAGCAGCGATGCTGCAATGCCAGACGCAGATTCAGATGACGATGATGACGACGATGCACCGGTAGCGCGTAGACCAGCGGCGGCGCGCAATATGAGGGCTGGCTTTATCGTTGACAGTGACTCGGAGTAAGGAATACGGATAATAACATCCTCGGTGTTATCTAAAGGGAATGGTTGCATAGCATAGCATGGTGTCTTAGGTTTGTGCTTTTCAATGTTTGAATACCCATCATCTTGTTGTCTCACTATCGTCTTGAATTGTTCATGTCGTGGTATCAGCCAGGTGCAGGACAGATGTCGTTTGACTAGGGCGCGTGGAGGGTGTCAAGCATATGGGCGGCTTGACGTCAAGAGTCTGTACAATCGTAGTTCTTGGCGGCGTTTGCAGCTGCTCCTTCCTGTCGTTTGGCATTGGCTGCATTTGGTCGTTCCATGACGTTGTTGTTGATCCGAGTTGGCTGCTTCGTGCCTTCCGTGTTTACCATCTCAAAGACAACATCTTCCACAATAACATTCCGCGGGTAAGTTCTTCTTCTCCACAAACGTTGCGCACCACGCTACAGCCATGCTAACATATTCAGATCGACACAGATTCGAGCAGATTCGCGCGCGGTGGGAGACGGCTCAGCTAAGTGAAGACGGAGCAGCGGCGATGGTGGGCTGGAGAGAAAAGTCGACAACTCACCTCCCAGTGGGTGGCGAGCCTCAAGAAAACAGCAGCAGCAAATTCCGAAGAAAGCTCAGCTATGGCTTCGCTTTCATATCAAATCCACTCTCGCAGCGAAGGACGACCCCAGGACGTCATCAAGTGAATGTACCGTCGTTGGCTGTTACCGAGCCATCTGCAACCGACATTACTACAACAAACCCTACATGCGAAGCTGAGCTTTCACCGATGCGTGTTTCTGCGCCATCCAGCCACTCCAACGATGCGACCGAAGAGTGCGCAACAGTCCCGTTCAGCAAGACTTTACACAAAAGCGCAGATACCGATACCACACCGCAGCCACTGCCCCGATCGCGTACGCTGAGCTTCATTCCGCTCCCGGTTAGGGTTGAGCCTCAGTCGTTCGCTGCGGACGTAGAAGGCGCAGTCAAGTCCCATTCTCTCGCGGTAATGCCTCAATCAGAGCCAGATTCGGTACCTTCGAAGATTCCTACTCCCAGTCCACCATCTCTAGAGCGCCGTCGCTCTAGTCCACGTCAACACGTTCAACAACACGTCTCGTACCGCGCTTCTCAACAGATCAAACACATCGCGACTGCCCACGCGTTGGCAGCCGCCAACAATGGCTCTCCGGTGAAGCATTCCTATCAGCTGCGCTCACGTACGACACCAAATCTCGTCAAAACAGCCAACGGGCCACAGTCGGCGCGATATATGGCTCCCAGGCGGCCAGGACCTAAGATGTCTGTGGTATCACCAGTAGCTCAAAGGCCGCTTCTGCAAGAGAACATACCGACGGACAGACGTATATCACACAGGCGGTCGCAGATACAAGAGAGGACGCTGAAGAGGGAATCACTTGCAGTGCCCGGTACTCTGAACAGTAGAAGGTCGTTTGGTCCGGGACTACAATATTCACAGAGCAGGGAGCCTAGCTTCGCGACTCCACCCACAGTAAGAAAGAGGATGAGCTCACAGCTTGCACAGCAGACGCCAGTGACAGTAAAGCGGATACAGTCGGAGGAACAGAAAGATACACCAGCAGCATCACCCTCGGTGTCACAATCTGCAGTTGTACAGTCTCGCAACACCGAGCTTCCAACACCCACTCCAGATGCGAGCGATAATGTCAGGCCAGCCCTTCCCCGGCTGCCCACGGACAGAGAAAAGCAAAGGAAAACGCTAGGAACACCAAATGGTTTGGGCGGCGTCTGGCGGTCATCCCATGCTTTGGCGATGACTACACATGAGGTGAGCAGACTTCCACGTTCCCAAACCTTCCATAATTTTGGAAGCCACCTGGAAGTCGCTCCACCGGTGCCTCGCATCCCGGAGCAGTACAGGACAGCGTCTTTGTCGGACTTGGTCCAGTCAGTTGGCATGAATCCGAAGAGCACTGTCCCCTCTCAACATGTCAGGGTCAGATCAGACGCGAGCTCGTGCGAATCGATACCCGAGGAGACGGACGATGAAAGACCGAGTGTCACGCCGACATGTACACCTTGTCAACCTGGACGAAGCCTTGTGTCGTCAATGAAATTCACCGAATCTAGTTTCAGTCTGGCGGCGTTCCCCCCAGTACCAACCAGAGTCCCGATCAGAGCACCAAACAACGCTGGAAACCTCTGGGCCTATTCTTCCAGCCGCTCGTGGAGTAGACATGGGCAAGAGAGGTCCGACGTTGCTGACAATGAGATCTTGCAGGTTAAAGACTATATGCCGCCGCTTTACTGGGCTGGAAGATTCCAGTCTCGATACGATCAATGGCGTACCGATGCAATGAAAGCTGAACTTGACCCTGCCCATCAAACCTCCGGCCTCTTGGGAGAATGCAAATTGAATCAAGACAAGCTGGCGGCGTGCTACATACTCGGACAACTGCGCGACCTGTGCACTTCCGATCAAGCAGCAGATAGCCTTTGGGTACGTTCTATCTGCGTCATGACTCTGAATATGTTGTACTGACTACGCCTAGGAGTTCGAGTACAAATACAGGAGAGAGCACAAACTGCTCGGCAATCCGGCAGACCTTCCGCCGATGTCATTCCGTAAGCACGACGACAACACGACTTCTGCAGGGGCTGGAGCCTTTGGACGGGCCGTGAGGAAGCTGACCCCACGTAAGGCTAGCCTGATCAACCTAATGAAGGGCAAGGGTTGGAACAAATCCGACGACTCGACTGAGCGGAACCAGGAGACGTCCTCGGATGGTTCATAACTCTACCAGGATGATGGAGGTTGTGGAAGGTGGACGGCCACGTTACAACCTGGACGAGAACGCGGAAGTGGACGAGAAGGTTACGATCATGTGAAACCTGCAAAGAGTAAAAGATGTTACGAGACACAACGAGGGCAAAAAGGAAGCGCGAGAGTTTAAGATACTGTGCGTGGCATGAGAACGTCAAGACATCAACTTTGTGATCTGCACAGGAAGCATGCATTGTTAGATATCCACAAAGAGGTAGTAATGTAATTCTTATGTCGACATTACGGCTTGAGTAGAACAGGCGACAGTCGTTGACCGAGGTGTTGACTGCTGTGAGCATGACATATCTGCAATTGATGTAAGGACACGAGATTTGAAGTTTTCTATGGCTTTCACACGTACATAATCACGAGTCAGTAGTTCCTTGTCGTCTGCGGTCTCTAACGGCTTATTCGATAGGCTTGGGCTTAGCAATCCGAAAGCAAGCTACCCATCGAAATTACTTCGAATTATTGGAAGATCGAACGATGAGGTCTCCCAGCAATTCGAAGTGATTTCGAACGGTGGCTTGTCCCCGGGCCGCTAAGCCCAAGCCTGTCGACTAAGCCCAAGACCAGACGTATGTATTCATAGTGCCATGACCGGGCATCGTATTCTCCCACATGATATGCGCCGTGACGCATCATGTTCACCGCATCTGTGCTTCTACTCTTTCTTCTCCGGCTTTGGCGAAAGCTCCTCCACGATGTTGTTGGGATCTTTCCACGCCAACGCAACGTACTTGGTGTGGCTCCCCCGTGCGAAGACCTCTCCCTTGTTGTTGCTGAAGTTTATGGACGTGAAAGCGAGTGTTTTACCGACTGGAGCGAAGTAATCAGCGACCGGGTCTCTTGAGTAAGGCAAGGCATGCCGATATGATGGACTCACATTTATCACATGTTACTTCGGCCTTAATCAAGTCGCCGATTTTGCCGCCGGAGGAGAGGTAGGTTACGTTTAGGTCGGTGGATACGCCTGTTGCGAAGAGCCCGCGGGAGGCTACTGCGAGGGAGCCACCGAGGTCGACTGGGGGTTCGTTAGATACTGGTGTTTGAGTGGGGGCTTTGGGAGGGGTGGCTTACCCATGCTAGCTATTGTCCCGCCGTGGAGGATGTTAAGGCGGTTCTACGTTAGGTCAGTTTCGAGAATATTGTAGGAGACGATAGGTGGGATAGCACGAACTGTATGCTCTTTCTGGATGTCTAGCTCGAACTTGACGCGTCCTGGGACTGCCGAGGTCACGCGGAGCTAGATAGAACGTCAGCCACGGTTTAATTTTATCGAATGGATCATACTCACACCATCTAGAAGCCTTCGAAGCGATTATCTATCAGTTCTGTTGATGTCCACTGGACGCTGAAAGTACCTTGGCTCCAAGCCGGAGTTGGCTCGGAATGATTCCCAGACCTAGCGACATATTAGAAGACCCATAAGGTAGATCAATGGCATTCTGTTTAACTCACGGATCTCACAAACTTCAGCGCCGGCATGATTGATGCTCACCCCGCGATGTGCGAAGAGTGATGTCGATGTTCCGCTCGGCAGTTGCCCACGTACCTCGGAAGCTAGACCAGGGTGGAGCGGAATTTGTGGGGTGAGCTTTCCGCTCGCTCGGCGCGTCATCAACTTTCTTTGGCGATTGGCGACCTGCGACTTCCACTTGCGCGACCCACGCGTCGCTACCGCCCAAACTCGTGGACCCTTTCTCTCCGAACATGATAATACGGCGGTAGACTGACATCCTCCTCTCCACATCTCCCACGATGTCGGCTTCATCTTCATCTCAGGCGCTGGAATACCTCGAGGGTCTGCCTGTCGCGACACACCGGCGGCTGTATGAGCAGCCATCCACCGTGTTGGCGGTGCTCCGCTGCATGCTTCCGCATCTTGGTGAGTGCATTTATTACGTCCGCAATTCTGTCGCTAACGGAGCCATAGCCAAATCCATAGTCTTTGCGATGCTCTATAGACCCTCATCCTTCCCCGTAGCCGACATGGACGCCTGGTTCAAGCCTTCCGCTAGGAAAGAGAAGGAACAGGCTCTCTTTACCCTCGAACGCCTACACATCATTGCCCCTGCTAAACAGGACGACGGTACCTTCTCGTGGACACTCAGCAAAGACTTTCAAGGCAGCCTGCGAAACGCCCTCGAGGGCTCCGGCACGCACCGCTCGTTCGGTGTGCCAGCGACCAGAGAAGAGAGCGGCGGAAAGCGGTT